CCCACCAAAGTATCACACATCAGCTGACTCATAAAACTAAGCTATAAGCACTAATAGGCATTTTAATAATCACCTCAGACGTCCCTTACCACCCCAGAAAACATACCCTCATTCTCACATTCTTTCCCACTACGCCAACCACCCATCGCAATTGCTGCTGCCATTGATTCAAACTCATCTGCATTTGTTCTTGCTCCCATCTTTTAATCTCCCTTCCCTGGTTTGGGCTATCTGGCTCTATGTCTTGGTTTCAAATTCCTTCCTCTGGCTTTTACCTTTTTTTTTTTTTTTTTTAAGAGACGGGGTCTTGCTCTGTCACCCTGGCTGGTGTGCAGTGGCACCATCATGGCTCACTGCAGCTTTGCACTCCTGAGCTTGAACAATCCTCCTGCCTCAGCCTCCCGAGTAGCTAGGACTACAGGCACGTGCCACCACACCTGGCTAATTTTTCTTTTTTTTTTTTGTAGAGATGGGGTCTCACTATATTGCCCAGTCTGGTCTCAAATCCTAACCTAAAGCGATCCTTGCACCTCAGCCTCCCAAAGTGCTGGGATTATAGGTATGAGTCACAGTGCCTGGCCCCTCTAGCCTTCTTTGACATGAAACAACTTTGAGTCAATTCCCCCTCCTTCTTAGCCATCATCTTTCCTACAATGTTTCAGCTCAGCTTGTTCAATTCCTTTAGATATATACTCAGAAGTGCAAATACCCAACTTTCAATAATAGATACAACATTCAGACAGAAAATCAATAAAGAAACAGCTGACTTGAACAAAACTATAGACCAAATGGACCTAACAAACATATACAGAACTTTCCACCTAATAGCAAATATTCTTCTCAAGGGCACACAGAACCTTCTCCAGGATATATCACGTTAGGTCAGAAAAATAAATCTTAACAAATTTAAGAAGACTGAAATCATTCTAAACATCTTTTCCAACCACAGTGAAATAAAACTAAAAATCAGTAAGAAAATGAGAAAATTCATAAATACATGAAAACTAAATAACATAGTCTTGAACAAACACTGGATCAAAGAGAAAATCAAAAGGAAATTTTAAAAACACCTTAAGACAAACAAAAATGAAAACACAACATACCAAAATATATGGAATGAAGCAAAAAGGGACTAGAGGAAAGTTTATAGCAATAAATGTCTATATTAAAAAAGAAGAAAGATCTCAAACAATCCAAGTTTAATTTCAAAGAACTAGAAAAAGAAGAACAAACTAAGCCCAAAGTTAGAAGGAACTAATAAAGACTAGAGCAGAAATAAATCAAATAGAGAATAGCTATTTCATTTATAATTTTATTTATTTACATTTATTTATTTGTATTTTTTCTTCCTTTTTTCACGGAAATACAAGGATCATAAGGGATTACTATGGACAATGTTATGCCAACAACAGGAGAACCTTAAAGAAATGGATAAATTTTGAGAAATATACAACTTACTAACACTGAATTAAGAAGAAATAAAAAATCTGAACAGACCAATAACAAGTACGGAGATGGAATCAGTAATCAATAGTCTCCCAACAAAGAACACCACAGGACCACATGATTTCAATAGTGAATTCTACCAAATATTTAAAAAGAATTAGTGTCAATCCTTATCAAACTCTTCCAAAAACTTGAAGAGAAAGAAACACTGACCATACTAAATGCTTGTGAGGGTGTAGAAAAACAGGAACTCTAAGTGCTGGTGGAAATGCAAAATGTTACAGCCACTTTAGAAGACATTTTGGCACTTTGTTACAAAACTAAACATATTCTTACCATATGATCCAACAATCCCACTCCTTGGTATTTAGCCAAATGAGCTAAAAACTTATGTCCATACAAAAACTTGCACACAGATGTTTATAGCAGCTTTATTCATAATCATGAAAACTTGGAAGCAACCAAGATGTCCTTCAGTAGGTAATGGATAAACTGTGGTACATCCAGACAACGGAATATTTTTCAGCACTAAAAAGAAATGAGCTATCAAGCCATGAAAAGACATGGAGGAATCTTAAATGTATATAACTAAGTGAAAGAAATCAATCTGAAAAGGTTACATACTGCATGATTCTAGCTATATAACATTCTGGAAAAAGCAATACTAATAGTAAAAAGATTAGTGGTTACCAGGGGTTATGGGGAGGAAGAGATGAATAGGCAGAACATAGAAGATTTTCAGGGCAGTGGAAATGCTCCATATGATACCATAATGGTAGATACATGTCACTATACATTTGTCCAAACCCATAGACTGTACAACACCAGAGTTAATGCTAATATAACTATGGAATTTGGAAGATAATGACGTGTCAATGTAGATTCATAGATTATAACAAATGTACCATTTTGGTGGAGGACATTGATAATAGGGGAGGCTATGCATGTGGGGTCAGGGGATTTATAGGAAATCTCTGAATCTTCCTTTCAATTTTGCTGTTAATCTAGAACTGCTCTCAAAAAGTAAAGTCTTTAAAAAATACTTTTAAAAAATGTAGGCTTTGTGTGCCAAATGATCTATACCATGAGTACTAAACTCTGCCATTGTGCAAAACAGCCATAGACTATATAGATAAACAAATGGACATGAATGTGTTACAATAAAATTTATTCATAAAAAACAATCTTTGGGCCATGTTTGGTTCATGAGCATAGTTTTCCAACCCCTGCTCTATATACACTTGAACTTGGTTTGTCTCTCTGGTTCTTGGCCCTCCATGTTGCTCTGGGTATGAACTATCCCTATCATGGCACCCTGCCCCAGACGATTTGATTGGTGTTGAGGATACCTTAGAAGAGGAGGATTTAGGCAAAACTCATCATGTCCAAAAATGAAAGTTATCACGTTCTGCCACCAAACCGGCTCTTCTCACAATAGCCCCTATTATGGCAATTGGCAACATTGTTCATCCAGGCATCGAAGACAGAAATCTGGTTGCTAGCTTTGATTTGTCTCACTCCTCACCTGCCAATTGGTTGACAAATTCTGTTGATTCTCTCCCCAAAACACTATTACATCTGCCCCCTCCACTTCATCCCCTTATCCCCTGTCTTAGACCCAGGCTCTTATCACCTCTTGATTAGACTACTGTAATATCTTCCTGCAAGACCAGATTATTTGCAGTACTCCAAATATGCTGTGATACTTTACCTCTTTGCCACTACATATTTCCTTTTGCCCAGAAACCTCTGCTTCTTAAATCCCAACTCAAAATTTCCCTTTCACATTTAATCATTGCCTCCTCCTCAAGGCTACTTGGTTTAAATAGTATACCCTTGATAATTCCAAGATATATGTTCCAAGATCCCCAAATTCATCAATAATGAAACATTAAAGTACCCACATCAGAATCTTAGGGCTCAAATAATTAATCAGGCTTTTAAATATTGCAACTAAAATGAACTCTTGCATTTCACTACATCATGACTTTAGCAACATCAACCATAAAGTTAACTTAATCTGAAAAGAAACAATAAAGCTCTTATCACTTCAAGAAGTTTATTGCAAATATAGCCATAAATAAAGAAGGGAGAGCAACCTTGTAGAAATCCTTCCTCCCATACAGTAGTCACATAGAATGCAAATCGAACATGGGTTTCGGCAAAATAACCAATTTTTTCGTGTATCAGACCTTCGGAAATCATTGAAACAGTGTCAAATCCATAAATACCACGAGCCTACCTACTTCTGTTATTATACTTGTGTCAATGAACACCTATTGCCAATGAGAACATGAGCTTCTTGGGGACAGGTCCCCTGTTTTGTCATTCTTTTTATATTAATACCAAAGTTGACCTAACGGAAAGCAACTACTTCAAAAACATTTGGCAATTGGCTTCCAGGCCATCTTCATCTCCAAAATCCTGCCAGTTCTGCCAAAAACACATCTCTGATGTCACTCCATTAACTCCAAAACCTTTGATGGCTGTTCACAATCTGCTTTACAGGACTATGTCTTCACACCCTGGCAAGGCATGTAAGTCTTCACACCATGACCTCAGTTTATACTCCCAGTCTCATTCTCAGCCTCTCCTCTTCACACACACTTTCCTCAAGCTGCTTTAGCTGTTCCCAGAACACTTTTGGACTTCCATTACTTCATGCCTTTGCAAATGCTGCTTCCTCTGTCTGAAAGTTCCTTCCCATCTCACCTGCCTGGAAAACCCTAATTTATTAATAAAGCTCAGCTTATATATCACTACCTTGTAGCTTTCCCTGCCCACTCCCAGAATCACTGTCCCCTTCATTTGTTTTTCTGTACCAACGTGTTTGTTCTGAAAATATACTAAGTTAATTCTGCGGGGAGGGAAGGAGAGAGGGAAGGAGGGAGAGCCATGTCAATGGACTTACCCAAGCAGCGACTGCGGCATTAGGGCACTACGTGTTAAGCATAGAGTTCAAGCAGCAGTGGGAGGATGGAGCTGGATGACCTCTAAGTCAAAAGACGCTGTGGTTCCCATCTTCCACACTGCGTGCATGTGTACTCGTGTGTGTTTGTGTGTGTGTAAGAGTGTGGGGGGAGCAGTAAGAGGGAGAAGGGGGGGAGGGAGAGACAAAGAGACTGAGACAGAGAGAGACAGAGATCAAAGAGAACAGGGTGGACGCAGTGCAGTAGGAGCAGATGGGCGGACCCAAATTTCTTCCGCTTTACAGTTTTGCAGAGGTCCAGTCTGCATCTAGAGCTGAAGCAAGGGGTGGGGGATGAAGGGGAGAAGCGGAAAGGGGAGGGACTGCACTCCTTCGGTGCGTGCCAGCCTCCACTGCCTGACGGACCACCTTCCGCTCCAACATGGCCAGTTCCTCCACGCCATGACTCACGCCTATTGTGCCAGGCTGGACGCACTCAGCCGTGCAGCCCCACAGGTGGCATCAGCTTGGGGAGACGGTTCCCGCCAGGCTAGGCAGTGGAGCGCCGCACAGCGCGCCTTCCCGCCTCCCAGCCGCCGCCCAAGCAGTTCCGACCCAGCGCCAGCAGGCCTGGTCGGTCGATCTTCGAGCCGAAGATGCGGCGGGGTTGGAAGATGGCTCTGTCTGGGGGGCTACGGTGCTGTCGCCGGGTACTTTCCTGGGTACCAGTGCTTGTTATTGTCCTCGTCGTGCTCTGGTCCTACTATGCCTACGTCTTTGAACTCTGCCTGGGTAAGTGGGGCTGGGCACCTAAGGTGGGGAAATTATGCTCCAGCATAATCGTCCACCCTACCCTTCACACTGGTGTCCCCTGTGTTCTCAGCCCTCACTCTGCGGTTTTCCTTTCGTTCCTTGGAGAGCTCCCTGTCTCCAGCCTCTGGCTTCCCACAGTATTTCCTGGGCCCTCCCACGAGGGTCCCACCACGTCGCCATCGCCTCCCACTTAGGGTTTCTTATTTCCTTGCCCTACCCACAATAATTTCCTGGCGCTTCCCACTAGGGCCCCCTTTTCTCATGCAGGGCAACCACTTGCGCCTTGTGCTCTCGTTCTGGGAGTCCCCACCCTACCTAACTGAGGAAACAACATACCCCGTGTCCTTAAACTGCCCGCTCACGCTACAAATCCCACCAATACATCGAAGTAGGAGGCCCACCATTTTCCCTCCCACTAGAATCTTACTAGGATTCCGAAGTAGGGACTCCCTACTAAGAATCCCAAAATATTTCCTGCACTCTCTTAAAAGCTCTCCTTTTACCCACACTGGGTTGCATCCTTTTCCCGCAGTCCTCTCACACTGGCTAAAGTGCTTCATATCTTCACCCACTTGTGACCCCACAGTATACCCTGTTCTGTCTCACTGTTGTCTCCCCATTTCACATAGTGCTAAGCAGCCCCCCATTCTCTTTCTGTGTGGGCTCTCCTCATTTTCTCATCTTCTTTAATGCCATGGGGGTTCTGCAATACATCCTTTCCCTTCACCCTAGAGCCCCCGATTTTTATCACATTGAGGTTCCCTTCAGTCTCCTGCCTTCCTGCTTGGGGGAGCATTTAGCTCCTTCCCATTAGGGGCCCCACATTATTTTCTGACACCTCATACCCGTGACCCTGCTTTTGTCATGTGATGATCCTGCCTTTTCCCCTGTCTTCTCCCACTACAGTGATCTCTACCCTCCCGCAAGGGTTCCCACAATCTCTCTCATACCTCATCAAAGGGCCACTACTTTTCCAATCATGATTCTTCCTTGTTATCTTTTCTGGGAAACCGACTCCCCACCTCCTGCAGTGCTCTTCCACTGTTAGCCCCGCATTCTGCCCTCCTCTTCATTTGGGGTTTCTTATTATTTCTTCTTACTCCTCCCTAGAATTGCATTTGTTCCCTGTCTTCTCAAACTGAGGAAATCCCATTCTTTCCCACTGGGGTTTCTAATATTTTCTATCCCTCCCAATGGAAATACCATTTCTTGCTCCCTCACATTAGAACACCCCTTTTATAATTCTGAGGTCTTCCCTTGTACCCTGTCCTGTCACACTAGGGAGCGCCCCATCCCTCCCTTGTTTATAAAATAGTTCCCACAGTATAGCTTGTGCATTCAAACTCAGAATTCCACAAAATTTTCCAACACAAATCTCAATTTCCTCCCCTATATATTTCCCGCTTGGATTCCTCCTAGTCACCTATACTTATCACTAAAGGCCTTGCAATGTTCTCATTTCAACTCACAATGAAGTGTTTATATTATATCCTGTCTTGTTACAGTAGGATCCCTGCTTTTCTCACAGTAAAATCTCCCCTTACGCTCATCTTCTCCCACTGAAGAATCCTTGTCTCTTCTCAAAACAGATTGCACTAATATTCATTGTCACTTCAACACTAGAATCCCACTGCCAGCATCTTTAAACACGTGATCTACTATGTTCCCTATTCATTCAATGTGAGACTCCAGAATATTTCCACTCCCCTCACATTAGGACTCCTGTCCTATTGGACATCTCCTCCCCTCACTCCCATGTTCTTCCAAGACTATTTATTTATTTATTATTTCAAAGTATTGTGGGGTACAAATGTTTTTGGTTACAGGGATCACTTTTGTAATGCTTGGGTCAGGATTAAAAATGTGCCCGTCACCCAGATAGTGTTCATTGTACCCATTAGGTAGGTTCCCACCCAACCTCTCCTCCTCTCTCCCACCTACTTGATTTCCACTGAGTTTTACTTCCCTCTATGCACATGTGTGCTCATCAGTTAGTTCCAATTTAATAGTGAGTACATGGGGTGTTTGTTTTTCCATTCTTTAGATACTTGACTTAGGATAATGTTCTTCAGTTCCATCCAAATTGTTTCAAAAGGCATTAAGTCATCCTTCTTCATGGCTAAGTAGTATTCCATGGTATACATATACCACATTTTATTAATCCACTAATGAATTGATGGGCATTTGAGTTGATTCCACATCTTTGCAATTGAGAATTGTGCTGCAGTAAACACTCAAGTGCAGGTGTCTTTTTGATAAAATGACTTCTTTTCCTTTGGGTAAATACCCAGTAGTGGGATTGCTGGATCACATGGCAGGTTGACTTTTAGTTCTTTGAGGAATCTGCATACTACTTTCCATAGAGGTTGTACTAATTTGCAGTCCCACCAACAGTGTATAAGCATTCCTTTCTCCCTGCATCTACCCCAGCATCTATTGTTTTTGGACTTTTTCATACAAGCCATTCTGACTGGGGTAAGGTGATATCTCACTATGGTTTTAATTTGCATTTCCCTGATGATTAGTGTCATTGAGCATTTTTTTCATATGTTTATTGGCCGTTTGTCTTCTTTTGAGAAGCTCTGTTCATGTCTTTTGCCCACTTTTTAATGGAGTTGTTTGATTTTTTTCTTGCTGACTTGCTTGAGATCTTTGTAGATTCTGGTTATTAGTCCTTTATCGGATGTATAGTTGCGAATATTTTCTCCCATTCTGTAGGTTGTCTATTTTCTCTGTTCATTATTTCCTTGGCTGAGCAGAAGCTTTTTTATTTAATCAAGTCCCATTTATTTATTTGTATTGTTGCTGTGATTGCCATTGGGGTTTCTTCATAAATCAAGACCCTTTTATTTTTTCATACCAGACTCTTCTCACCTGACAAATTATGGTGGGGGTGCTGCTTTTCTCAACCCCAGGACTTGACTCCAATTATAACTTCCTTCTCTTACATACTTACAAAGCAACAGTCTGCCCTAGCTAGACTGGGATGAACTAGAGGCAGGAGATGACCCTCTTTTCCAATATAGAATTCTCTTTTAATAAATTCAGCATCAGAGTTTGAACTTCTTTCACTTCTTTCTTAGAAATATTATAGAAAATGCAGAAAGAGCTCTTAAAACAAATTTCATTAGTTGCCTTCATAGATACAAGTTTAGACTATTTTTCTTTTTCATCACTATCTGTTATTGAGATGCATTAAACAGACTGTGCAATGACTGGGACATTTTCTATTCTCAAACCTCACCATTTTGGCTTTTTTGGATGATTAATTGAAGGATCAAAAGTTGAACTCCATCATTATGGTATGGACATTACTCCTAAGATCAAAGCCATATTGTAAGCATTATTAAACATATTTTGGAGTTTTTCAGTATTGACTCACATAAGTTTTGCCAAGAAACCTTTTAAACATTAATAATGATAATACCTAACACTTATAGTGTTTACTCTGTGCAAAAAAATATTCTAAGTACTTTAGATACATTAACTCTCTATATAATAATTGATTTAATCCTCACAATAACTATATGAAGCAGGCACCATTACTATCCCCATTGTGCAGATGTGTAAACTGAGGCACAGATGAGCAAACCGAGGTAAAGACTAAGTTAGAATCACATCTCTAATCATCAGGGAAATGCAAATCAAAACCACAATGAGATAGCACTTATCCCCAGTGAGAATGGCCTTTATCAAAAAGTCCCCAAATGATAAATGTTGGCGTGGATGCAGAGAGACAGGAACACTCATGCACTGTTGGTGGGATTGCAAACTAGTACAACCTCTGTGGAAAGTAATTTGGAGATACCTCAAAGAGCTACAAGTAGAACTACCATTTGATACAGACATCCCACCACTGGGCATCTACCCAAAAGAACAAAAGACATTCTATAAAAAAGACACCTGCACTGGAATGTTTATAGCAGCACAATTCACAATTGCAAAGATGTGGAAACAACCCAAGTGTCCATCAATACATGAGTGGATTAATAAAATGTGGTATATGTATACCATGGAGTTCTACTGAGCCACAAAAAAAAAATGGTGATCTAGCACCTCTTGTATTATCCTGGATAGAGCTGGAGCCCATTCTACTAAGTGAAGTATCCCAAGAATGGAAAGACAAGCACCACAGGTACTCAGCATCAAATTAGTTTTAACTGATCAACACCTAAGTGCACATATAGGAATAACATTCATTGGGCATTGGGCAGATGGGAGGGGGCAGGAGGGGATGGGTATATACATATATAATGAGTGTGATGCGCACCGTCTGGGGGATGGACACACTTGAAGCTCTGACTCAGGTAGGGCAAGGGCAATATATGTAACCTAAACATTCGTATACCCATAATATGCTGAAATGAAAAAAAAAAGACCAAGTTAGAATCAGTGTAAATAATCAGGTTTCTATAAGTTCTTATTTAGTCATATAATATTAAAAGCTGAAAAGAAGCTTAGGACCTACTCACTTTTTTATTTAACATACTTGCATAGTATTTACTACACGCCAGGCACTATTTCTAAGGGACTATACACACACACACACACAGACACACACACTCACATACATTCACACACTTAATCCCTGTAACAATCTTACAAGATACGTAATGTCATTATGCCCAGTTTACAAACAAGTAAACTGAGGAACAGACAGATTAAGTAGCTTACTTAAGGTCACAGAGTTAGAAAATGGCCAAGCTTGGATGGCAACCCTAGTAGTATGGCTCCACAGTCCCTGCTCTTAACCACCCCACTATTTTAACACCCTGTCTCCTTTCAACTAACACAAAGGTAAAACTTTGTGACTCGCAGGCCAGATGTAGCCTGCAGATGTATTTTGTTTGGCCTGCACCGTGTTTTCTTAACATTTTGTATTAGTTACTATTATTTAAAAGTCAGGAGAATAAGGAAGCCTTGACTTCCAATTCTGGCTTCACCAGTCTATCCTGTCATTATCATTCTACAATCTTTTA